CACAAAACATTTAAAATCATTACTGTTCAAATAAATGGTTGGCTCTGCTGCTGAACAAGCTATATTCTAACTAGTTAACCTCACTTTTCTAGGCCTCAACTATCACATGTGTTAAATGAAGACGTCGGAAGTCACTGTCTTGATTCATTTATATTTTTCTTCGTAGTATGTGCAGTGCCTAGAACAGTGCCTGGCACAGAGTAGGTAGCTCACTAAAGACTGAGAGAATGAATGAATGCATAAATAAATAAATTTAAGAAAGTCAAAACACTAAACAAAGCTTCTTCAGCCAGACTACTTTTCAATATTGTCATTTGACACTCCACATAAAAAGAAACACAAATACTAAACCATTAGTTGGGAAATGTTTTTAGTAATTAAAGAAATCCAAATTAAAACAATAAGACATTTCTTACACATTAATTTAGCAAAGATGAACGCAAGTTATAAAATTAAATGCTGGTTAGTGCACAGAGAAACAAGTAGATTCACACATTGTGAATGACTGTGCAAGTCAGTAGTCTTTCTGGAGGCTGACGGGCAATTTATTTGAAAAGTAACAGAGCAGTTGGGACTTTTCTGCCTATAATTCTCCCCTGAAATAAATTAAAACTTATTTAGCCAGTCAGCAAGTATTTATTTAAAGTCTACATAGGACATACTTAGAAGAAATAAAAGGAAAAAGACATTGGGTGCCTTATTAGCTGATGGGTTGACAGAGAATCCTAAACACACACACACAACGTTTTTCAGCGGCACTGCATGGCAGGCTGGGAGTGCAGTGGTACAATTTCAGCTCACTGCAGCCTTGCCCTCCCAGGTTCAAGTGATTCTACTGCCTCAGCCTCCCAAGTAGCTAGAACTAAAGGCACGCACCACCAGGCCCAGCTAACTTTTGTATTTTTAGTACAGATGGAGTTTCCCTATGTTGACCATGTTGGTCTCAAACTCCTGACCTCAGGTGATCTGCCCACCTCGGCCTCCCAAAGTGCTGGGATTACAGGCGTGAGCCATCGTGCCCAGTCAACATGGCAAGCTTTGAGGCTTTACTACACTGACCATAGAATTCCTTCCACAATCATGTAAAAGACAGTATTATACCCTTTTACAGATGAGGAATTGGAGATTCAGAGAGGCTGAATAACGAGCACACAATTATATGGTTAACAGGTAGCAGAGCTAGAATTTAAATCCAAACCTTCTAGCTCTCCAAACTATTCATGTAGTTTCTACCACGTCCCTGAGAGATAACCACATAATGCAAGGGACAAAAATTGTAACCACTGTAAGGAAAAGATAACGTGCCAAGAAGGTACTCAATTAGATGGTGGTGTGTGTTTGTTCGTTAATTTAAGATATTCTTAAAACGCAAGTCATGATTTATTACTTCACATATAGTATTCATTCATTCACAGGTTCATTCAATAAACAGTTATTACATTATTTATCACATATCAGGATTTGCAGTAGATGCTGGGGATATGAATATGAACAAAAGCTAGAGCTTGGCTCAGAGATCTGCACAGGCAGGGAACAGGAAGAATTTGGTATTGCAATAATAGGAAACTTATTGAAGAAAATTTACAATAGAAAACATTGAAGTCCTGGTTCAATGTTTAACTTCCTTGGGCTCTGGGCAAATCATGTAACCTTTCCCAGGCTCAAGCTCCTGATAAAACTTGGGCATAATAATAATCATCCACAGGACAACTGGTACGATTGCCCTGTCATTTGTAGGAAAACACATGGTTATCCGTAAAGCCCTGTAAGAAACGGCAACAGGAAGATAAGTATTACGTTATGTGGATGGATTCCCTTTTGATCAGGACCTTGCAAGCTGACACGGCCTACCAACATCTCCCAGATGAGTGAGTGCTAATTTATTGACAACAAAATGGTTGTCCCATCACTACTCTGAATGAACTACCTGCCACCATTCTTAGAGTTCAGTCATCCATTTGTAACTCTCTCTGCCTTTGTCTAAAATAATCCTGAGGAGCCAAACAGATAAAGCACTTCCAGATAAGATTGTTATAAGCCTCTTTTCCCAGGATTTAAATTTTCTAAAAAGAGCCTGTAATCCCAGCACTTTGGGATGCCAAGGCAGGCGGACCACCTGACGTCAGAAGTTCGAGAGCAGCCTGGCCTACATGGTGAAACCCTGTCTCAAGAAGAAAACACACACACACACACACACACACACACACACACACACACACACACACTTCAGGGTTGACAGGTCTTAGACACCTTGTAGAGGGGTTTTCAACCCATGTCCGAACTTGCATGGTAATATTCCAATCAGCCACTGCTTGAATACCTCATGCAATTAGAGATTCAATAACTCCAGAAAGAGCCAATCTCTCTTATTCAGAATTAAGAAATGTCAAGGAATCCTTATAAGATAAAAAAGGGTGAAGATCTTCCTTGACAAACAGTTCTTTCAAAAGCCATATATTATGTCACCCATCTAAGACCCTGGGCAGAGGATGAGATCACCTCAGTGTTTCGCTGTGACCAGGGCTATGAATTTTGCACACGTCATTTCTTAGGGGCTGAGTTTCCTCTTACGCAACATGAAAAGACTGGTGACTTCTATCTGTGAGTCATCTCTCATATCTACTGCCTCAACCCTAATTCACGTTTGCTTTATCATTTGCCTGGGCTATTGTGGTAGCTCAGACTGCTCTGCTGTCTCTAGTACCCTCGCCTTCAATCCATCTCACACACTACAGACGATTGTTTTCTTAAAGCACAGATCCCGTCATCTCATTGATCTACTTGATTCTCCATTCACAATGCAGTCTCAACTTCCCAGTACAGCAATCAAGGTTTCTCTCAATGTAGACCCTCACCCATCTCCATAGCCTCTCTACCATGCAGTCCGCCTTCATGACTCCAGTTTTTCAAGGCACAATGCACTTTTTCACCTCCATGTTTCTACCCATGTTATGTATCCCACTTAGACATTTTCTCCTCCTCCAGCCCACCAAACAAATTCCCACTTACCCTTCAATGCCCAATCAAATGGCAATCTCTTTATCTGAGTTTCCCTAGGTCCCCAGAGTTAGTTAGCTTCCAATTAGAGCCATCAGACTTTATTTTTTTTCTGACACACAGGGTCTCACTCTGTAACCCCAGCTGTAGTACAATAGTGTGATCATAGCTCACTGCACCCTCACTTGCTGGAGCTCAAGGAATCCTCCTGCCTCAGCTTCCTGAGCAGCTAGGACTATAGGCATGCACCACCACACTGGCTAATTTTTTTTATTTTTATTTTTTTAGAGATGGGATCTTGCTATATTGTCCAGGATAGTCTTGAACTCCTGGCCTCAAGTGACCCTCCTACCTCGGCCTCCCAAAGTGCTGGGATTACAATGTGAGCTCCCGCACCTAGCCCCTTCAGATATTTTTTGCATATACTTCTACATTCTGTCTTGATTATTTATATGGCCTCCTGAAAGCAGAGACCACACTGCATTTGTGCTTTCATCTTCAAAACCCAGGGTAACATATCACTCATTCTTTCACAGGTGCACCTAACACATGGTATCAAACAAATACACAAATGTGTCAAATTTATGGAAAGAATGTTATATTTAGGGTTCTGTCCTGCTGTCACTGCTGGGACCCTAAATATTCTGCATGTAAAGCTATTAAACTATGGCCAACAAGAGAGATTTCCAGAGTGGAAATGACCAGCTACTGGAACACTGACCTATCTTTCACCTCATTCTAAGAAAAGGTGTCACTTACCTGCCTGGCCACTGCAGAGTTTGCCTTTCCCATGAGTCCGGGCACACCCAGCCCTGTGGGTGGCAACTCTTTATTGCACTTCCTGAAAATGATTAGTTTTCATACCAAACAAGACAGAAGCTCCAGGTGCCAACCAAATTATTTTCTTCCTTAAACTAAACAAGAACAATCTTCAGTGGAAATTCACAGGAAGTACAAGTGCAGATGATTCTGCATAATAGAAATGAATTTCCACAGTGACCTCCTGGCACGGAGCTTAGTATAGCATTAGGCTTCCATAGTTACAGTTAAAGATCATTATCAAGATGGGCCACTGGATGGAAAATAACAGATTCAGGAACCCAGCTAAAGTACACACATGAACAGAGAACCAGTCTTATTTCTTAACTCTCAGTAGCCAGAGCAGTTCAGCTGCCTGCTGCATCCTGGTCTAAGCCTTCCCGTCCTTCAATGTCTAACCGAAGTCCCAGCACTTCCAACAAGCTCCAGCAACTCACAAGTCCCCCAGTCCTTCATGTGTGCCTCTCCCATGACACTCTCTCACAATACAGATATACATTAACATGTTTTTATCAACCCTCATAGACACTAAGTGCTTACAATTTTGACATACCCTTCGAACAGACTTAAATTCCACTTCTATAAATGTAGTTCATTCAGCAGACTTTTTTTTTTTTTTTTTTTTTTTGAGATGGAGTCTTACTCTGTTGCCCAGGCTGGAGTGCAATGGTGCCATCTTGGCTCACTGCAACGCTGCCTCCTCGGTTCAAGCAATTATCCTGCCTTAGCCTCCCGAGTAGTTGGGATTACAGGCACTGTCCACCACACCCAGCTAATTTTTGTGTGTGTGTGTATATTTAGTAGAAACGGGGTTTCACCATGTTGGCCAGGCTGGTCTCGAACTCCTGACCTCAAGTGATCTACCCACCTCAATTTCCCAAAGTGCTGACATTACAGATGTGAACCGCCATGCCTGGCCATTCAGCAGACATTTCTTGAGCACCTAGCACCTCCTTTAACAAAACAGTGGATGTTTATTGAGTCCTTGACTTATGCCTGGTCTTATGCACGTTATTTACACTACCTCACTCAATATTCACCTATAAGTAGGTGATCATATAATGTATCCTCCAAATCAGACACGTACGAGAGTAAAATGCAACACTACAGATACCACTGAAGTCCTCTGCAAGTTGACAGCTGTGCTGCTGGGTGGTGGCCTGAGTAACTAAGGGACACTAACAATGGCTTTAGCAGGAAAGGTGCATGCTGGAAGCAGGTCAAAGCATCCTGCTTTAAGGTCAGTGACCTGGAACTGTCCTGATCCTCATGCTTACCTAGCTCATGAAAGGTTCCCACACAAGTTTCTGAAGACCTGGCTTCACCTTCAACATCAGCTTTCTGTTTGAATTACAGGGGGATCTCCAGATATGATGCAAAGCCACAACACAAGCAATTACAATAGTAGAAGCAGACCCTCCATGGGTAACAGACACAAACAGTGCAAACAAAACCCAAGAGAAGGTGGGATGGTGGCAGTGGAAGAAGGGGCATTGCACAGCCATCCACTGGTGACAAATCACCACTCTGCACAACCTGGAAATGCCCGTGACACTCATCCCACTTTTGGGGGCACACTATGCTAAACAGTGGTGACCTCATTAATAAGAGGTCTAAAAATGAATATGTGGGGAAACCAAACAGTGCCGCATTATTAAACAGCACAGTGAGGTCTTGAGCTAGGAGTTGTCTGGGTCTAAATCCCTTGAGCCTCACAAGCAGAGTAAGGTGTCAACACTGTGTGCCGGATGCCATGCTGGGCATCCAGAATCGGCCACATGTACAGACTGCATTGCCTTTGACAAAGTACCCCACGGAAATGCCCCAGATTCTCACGAATGCATTGTGATATATCACAGGATTTCCACTAAAAGGTAATTTAGGCTCAAGAATGTTCCAGAACTTGTTCAAGATCACAGGGTTTGTGGTTAGTCCAAACACAGGTCTTTGTTTTCCCTACACAAAAATCACTGGTACTGCCAAAATGATCTAGTATGATGAAGCCCAGATCCTTGAACTCCCCGGTCCCAAATCTGACTTTCAGTCTTGCCTTCCAAAGCCTCAAACATAGACAACTAATGCTACTAATTTGTACTAGTGAAACAATAACTATTTATCGCCTGTGTAAAGGGCTTGCAGTGATGTTCACATCAACTATGCTCATTTGCAAAAGTTAAAAAACAAGACAGGTGTTTTGGAGAGAGGCGTTTGATTCTCCCCCTGCCACTCGAGGCCCTGCACCCTGGTCAGAAAGGTTTTATCACCCTCGAATCTCTTGACCACTATCTGCAAGATAAGACTCATCTAGCCAACTTTTCTCTTGGATTAAAATTGGGAACAAAGTAATAAAAATGAGCATAAAATGCATTTGCTACATTAAAAGTACAGTGAAGGCTCTAAAATACTCCTGGTTTCTGTGAGATACATTGTGATGGGCAGATTTAATAGGGAAGGTAAAGACAAGAGGATCTACGTTGTAATGGATCTAAAACTACTGCCTAAAAACCTTTAGGCAAGCAAAAATAAGTAAATATTAATGGAGAACGGCAGAGAGCAGGGGCAGAGAGCTGTAACAAGAAAGGAACCTTGATGTTAGCACCGGGGCATAGCGTGGTTCTTGCAAACAAGCATCAATGGCAGCGATTCACGGCAGTAACATAAATAAATCCCCAGACCACACACACTCAAATGACGCCATCTTAATCCAATTGCTTTCACAGTATGAAGCACAAGTTTCAAGCCTAAGATACAATGATCTTCAAGTTACATCCTCTCCTAAAATTCTCCAAAGCAGAGAAGCTCCTTCCTGGAGGTAGAAGGAGGAATGGGGAAGGAACATGTGCGGTATAGCAGAAATCAAGAATGAAAAACACCTGGAAACAGGGCTGGCCTGGGAGCAAAGGCTGTGGCCCAACTCCACTTCAGCTGACAAGGGTGTGATGGAGCAAGTCTGTCCCTTTTCTGGGGCCTCAGTTTCCTTATCTGTACAAGGGATCCAATCACTCTGGCCAAGAAGGCCCCAGTCCATGCTTGCTGCTTCTCCTGTTGACTACTTTGGTATTTTGGTGTAAAAAAAAAGAAAAAAAAAAAAAAAAAAAAAAATCCCAGCCAAGAATGATAAGCTGTCAAACAATGAGAAAGAGAAAAGTAGGAATTAAGCTACCTGATATTAGTCTAGCAGCAAACAGCTTTGGGAATCCATTGTTCACTCCCTACTCTGCTGACCTGACATACGTCCGTTTCTCCTATCCTGAAACATTTCAGCAGCCTTCTAAGCTGGGTCTCTGCCTCTGGTCTTAACCTGCCCTCACTCTGCCACCAGAGCTCTCTGAAATACAGATCCAACAAGGCCCTCTTTGCTCAAAAAAAATAATAAAAGGCCTTCCTGCCCTCTCCCACCTCTGCCATCATCCTTAGCTGGGTCCAACAGCCCTTTACTAACTAACACTCCCTAGCCAGCCCCATCTCTCACAGTGATCTCCAAATACACATTTACATTCCTCAAACACTTTTAGGCCTCAGGCCTGTGCACATATATCAAGGTCCCTATGCGTAGAAAGCTCTTCCACTCCTGTCCACCATGTAAACTCCTATTCACTCCTCAAAACCCAATCCAATGTCTTCTTTTCCACAGGCATTCGCCAGTTCTTCTAGATGACTGGTCACTCCTTTCTCCGTGTTCTCATTAGCTCTTTGCTCATCATTTTATTAGGGCACTAGCGTCTTCTCTTTCAGTTTCTTTCCTGTGATACAATGAGGACTCTGGAAGGCAGAGTCTATCTCAGTTTCCTTTGTAACCAGTATCTAGCATTTCTGCCCAGCATACAGTAATCGCTTTGTACACAAGAACTGAACTCAATACATGAAATTGAGTTGTATCTGATCACAGATATGTGTGGGTTGGAAGGGGTAAGGAGTCTGGAAATTGCTTCATGGCACAAGGCAGATTTTGATCTTGATCCTAGAATCACAGGGGTTACAACAGGCAGAGACAGAGAGGATGGAAACTCCAGGTAGAGAAAACAGCATAAGAAAAGGCTTGGATTAAGGAAACAGAGGGCCTGGCATGGTAGCTCACTCCTGTAATCCCAGCACTTTGGGAGGTCAAGGTGCACAGATCAACTGAGGTCAGGAGTTCAAGACCAGCCTGGCCAACATGGTGAAACCCCATCTCTACAAAGATACAAAAATCAGCCAGATGTGGTGGTGGGCACCTGTAATCCAAGCTACTTGAGAGGCTGAGGCAGGAGAATCACTGGAACCTGTGAGGCGGAGGTTGCAGTGACCTGAGATCGCGCCATTGCCCTCCAGCCCGGGCAATAAGAAAAATTCTCAATCAGAGTAAAACTCTGTCTCAAAAAAAAAGAAAAGAAAAGAAAACAGCAGAATGTTCAAGACCACCTGTCTGTGTGAGGGAAAAGTGAAAGAGCAGTTACAATTGCAACTACCCTTAGCATAATTAATCTCACAACTCTCAACTCCACACTTCCAGTACCCCAAGCTTCACTCTGCTGGCAGGCTGCCCAGTGCCACCTGTGGCAGCAACAACAGGCTCAAGGTTCTGGGGCAGTAAAAACAGTCCCCCTCCCCCATGATTGCTATCCTGTGGCTGCAGCGAGCTATTTTACTCCCTCTCGTCATCAGGCGAGTATTTCTGGAGTGCCTACCCTGTGTCAGGCACTCTTCAGGGCACTGGGAATACAACTACCAACAGGCAGACATCACTGTCATCCTCAAGCAGCTTATTTTAAAGTGGAGAGGAGGCAGACAAGCAAATATGTAAGATGAAGTGGTGATACATGCATATTTGTGTCCATAAACATTGCTCATTCACTAAACAGCTCCTGAACATCCTGGGGTCTGTCTCCCTTCACTACACAATAATGAGACTATTAATGCCTTTATCTGTGGATTGTCAAAATATAAAAGGCCCGCTTGACTCAGGTAGGTGGTAGGAAGGATTACAGGTGATCCCTCAGAGCCCTGAGCCAGGAAGCTTTCCTAGAGGATACAAGGTTCAGCACCAGAGAACACAGAACACTGTTACAGGAGCCATAAGATCGAAGGCAAGGACTGACAGCAAGACTTCGTCACTGTTACTGTATTACCCAACTGCCTCTCTTCAAGGATAATTGCATCCTTATCACAAGGGACTGGGCAGGAGGGCACTGTTGAGAGAGGCGGATGACTTGCTAGAACGGCTTAGTTCTTTCCAATTTGGGAAGAGACGACACCCAATGTAGCATCTTAAGAGAGAAAAAGGGGCTAGGACAGCACCAGCGTACGACTGAGAAGCCTATTTGTCCATGTGAATCCCCAGTTGTGACACCACTAGGGCCCCCTGAACGTGGGCTGAATTAAATTCCAGGGAAGAACACAGACCAGCCATGTTGATTTGAACTTTTCATCCACGAAGGCATAGAAAAGAGTGGTGAAGCGGCTGTAAAACCAGGCAGAAGTTTCAATGTCACCTGGTAGCTGTGTAACCTTATTTCTCCAAATTCATTTTCTCATCTGCAAAATGAGACTGATAATCATAAAACCTATTTTAATGAATCAGTATAATTACTTAAATAGGTGGTAAGTATTCAAAAATGTTTTAAAATGATATTACTATTTTAAAAGAATGACAGAAAAGTAAACATTTTCTAGCCTCCGCTCTGGTTTATCTGCTTCCTAGCATTAATCCCATTCACCCTACAGCTGCCTATCCACCTACAATCTCACTGATGTGACCAGCATTTAGGATGCCCTGGCCTTACTGTTCACAACAGCAAAGACTTGGAACCAACCCAAATGTCCATCAATGACAGACTGACTAAAGAAAACGTGGCACATATACAGCATGGAATACTAGGCAGCCATAAAAAGGATGAGTTTATGTCCTTTGCAGGGACATGGATGAAGCTGGAAACCATCATTCTCAGCAAACTACACAAGAACAGAAAACCAGACACTACATGTTCTCACTCATAAGTAACAGTTAAATAATGAGAACACATGGTTACAGGGAGGGGAACATCACACACTGGGGCCTGTTGGGGGTGGGGGTTGGGGAGGGACAGCATTAGGAGAAATACCTAATGTAGACGAGGGGTTGATGGGTGTAGCAAACCACCATGGCACGCTATGTAACAAACCTGCACATTCTGCACATGTACCCCAGAATTTAAAGTACAACAAATAAAATTGAAAAATAAAAATAAAAAAATAAAGAACGCATCTGCGTTTTCCTCCAAGCCTCCAGACAACCTACAGCAGACTTCCACAACACGCTTGAAATCTTTCCACCCTTCCCCTCACCTTCATGCTCCGCCTCATATGCTTCCTCAAGCCAATAGATTTTCACCCAAATACTAGCTTCCTGCATGCAGAAATAGGATTATCTCTTCTCCTTCCTCACCTCTACCAAGTTTCTTCAAGCAAAGCACAGCCCTCCAAAGCCATATTCCAGGAAAGTTCCACCCACCAATGAATATATTCAGCTTGGAGCCTCTAATTGCGGCCCAGGGTCAAAGTCCCAGATTCACTCAGACTAAAAGTGGTGCTATGCCTCCTGTTACCATCTAAATAATTACTCCCACAGAGATGACTCTAGAGCCCCTGGCCAGCCATATTCTCCTGTGAATCTCTACAAAACCATTTAAAGGCCCCTATTGAGATTAGTTTAAACCTTACTTATTAAAAAGTAAAAGTCCTCTTCTTTTTCCATTTTCCACTGTCCCTTTCATGGATAGCCATTCAAAACACAGCCTGGATAATAAAGCACCTTCTCCCTGCATCTGCACCTGCTACTATCTTGCTAGAAGGTTCCTCTCTCACCTGTCCTTCTTCCACCTGGCCAACTCCTACTCAATCCTAGAGGTTCAGCTCAGACACCATCTTCTCTATGAGGCTTTCCTGAAGGTGAGCCTTCTCAGTGAAGCGCAGCCAAAACTTACCCTGCAAAAGCACTTAATACATGGACACAACCCACTCCACCTTCCCCGACACCCCATACACACACAGACACACCACACACCTGTGTGCTCTTCAAAGGCAGGGACCACGTACACTTCATCTTTGTACTCTCAGGGCCTAGCCAGTTTCTGCTTCACTGGAAGCAGGCTCCAACTCCTGGTTTTACCATGCTACCTGCCATCTTCTATCTCCGTCTTTTTTCTATTTAATGCAGCAAATCCCTGGGCTAAGGGGGCTACTGTTCTCACAAGTTACACTCTGCCCATGTACAAAAATCCCATCATTCCAGCATCTCCAGCACAGTTCTGAAATCAAATCCAACCTAACCTAATTCTTGCCCCATTCCCAATCAACCCATGCCAGTTCCACAGTAGGGTAAAGTCACATGTCATCACCAAGATGCAAATGTTCTGGGCTGTAATTTTGAGCACATCTCTAATTAGCTATGTGACCTTGGCCAAGGGTTAAAATGAAGGTGGCAGCAGCACTAGATCTAATTCTCAGGGGACCTAGATTCAAATGGAGTATCTGATTGGAAAGTGTTTCATAAAGTGCAAAGCACTGTACAGTCATAAAAGACATGATTAACAATTTTATCAGATTTAAGCCATTGACTATAAGATGTGCCATTACCAACTTAGAATGAAAAAAAAACTGCACAACTATGGTACATGGTGATTATAAGACAATCGCATTTCAGTGATATTAAAATGTGAAAAAGTGTCTTTTAGAATTGATTGAATACAACTTATTTGTCTCAATAAAATACAGGAACCTGCTACAAGATTTTCATATTTGCCAATGATACATAATCGGTACCCAGTAACCTATGTCAAGTAAACGAACAAGAACCAAATGATAAATATTCTTTTTAGGAGGCCAGGGGAATGGAACCTTGCTCTGCTGCCCAGGCTGGAGCGCAATAGCACAATATCAGCTCACTGCAACCTCCTCCTCCCAGGTTCAAGTGGTTCTCCTGCCTCAGCCTCCCAAGCAGCTGGTACTACAGGCGCATGCCACCACACCTGGCTAATTTTTGTATTTTTAGTAGAGATGGAGTTTCACTATGTTGACGAGGCTGGTCTCAAACTCCTGACCTCACATGATCCCCCTGCCTCGGCTCTCCAAAATGCTGAGATTATAGACGTGAGCCATCGCACCTGGCCAATAATATTCTTAGGCCAAATTATCACCTCTCATTGTAATTGGGCGGCAGGAGGCTTCCCAATCCCAGTACCTCCCCTCTAAACCACATCCCAGCCTGCTCAAAACCATCAAATGATGACTTTAAGATATATCCAAACTCCTTAGCCTGGCATTTTTAAGGCCCTTTACAAACAAGTTACCTCTCCTGTTCGTTGCTTCCTGGAACTGTCTTCACCAGAATGTGTCATTCCAAGAAAGATCCTACTCAAGTCCCAGCCATAGCATTCAGCTTATCAGCTTGGCTTCTCCTCCCTCTGCCTACACTCAAAACCAACTCTAAGCCCATGCTGCTTACAGACAGCCTGCCTCTGGGGGAATCGCCTGACCATAAGGGCCCAGGCTTTTACCCCTACCATTCAGATTAGGAAGATCCCATCTGAAGCCTACATTCTAGACTATAAAGGCTTGAGTGCTGGGGTTGGGGACTGCATTGCAGAAACTAAATGCAAAAATACACACTTAACTGAGGTAAGAGCATGGGTTTTGTTTTTTTTTTTTTTTTGAGACGCAGTCACCCTCTGTCACCCAGGCTGGAGTGCAGTGGTATGATCTCAACTCACTGCAACCTCTGTCTCCCAGGTTCAGGCAATTCTCCTGCCTCAGACTCCCAAGCAGCTGGAACTACAAGTAACCACCAACATGCCTGGCTAATATTTTGTACTTTTAGTAGAGACCGGGTTTTGCCACTTTGCCCAGGCTGGTTTCGAACTCCTGAGCTCAGGCAATCCGCCCGCCTCAGACTACCAAAGTGCTGGGATTACAGGAGTCAGCTACCGCACCGAGCCCACATACTCTTTCCTTTAACTGCCCCCTGGTTCTGGCAGAAACTATGCAAGCAGAAAAACTGGCGATGATGTGGAGAAAGCCCTACTGGGTGTCCTAGCCCCCTACTGTCCACCATTACTCACCGTAGGCTCTAGGAGAAGCAACCACCTTTGCCTGTTCTATGTATAAGAGTTGAGGTAGGGGGCAGATGGAAGAGGGAGCTAGACGTTTTCTAAAGGTGCCTATCCACACTTTCCCTTTCTTCCCTTTAGGCTTTCTTAAAATGCCCATATGCAGGGAAAGGTAAGCCATCAAGTCACTAACACCTAAGTGAGAATGAGTTTTACGGGAAAGGCAAGAATTGTAGAAAAAGGGGAAGGAGTAGAAAGAGAAAGACTGGAAACAGTTAAGTGAGTTTGGTACCAGTAAAAGCGCTCAGAGAAGACCCTGAGTTCTCACTGGTTGTTTTGTGTTGGGGAGGGAAAACTGGATCCCTTCTACGGGAAGGGTAGCCAGACAGATTTTTCGGTCCTCCTACGACTCTGAGGTTCCAAAGACTCTGCCCTGTCCAAGCACCCAGGCACAATTCCGCTGATTAGCTCAACTCATGTCACAACCTCCCCCACCCCCAACCTCTTGCCTCCAACTAGAGAACATGTATACTTTCATCTCCATTTCCCACACTACTTCATCTCCTCTGGCCCACAGTTCCCTGGAAGAGATGTCTTCCTCCAAGCCGCTGGCTGGCTTCAGGAAACTCCTCATCCTTCAAAAGCCCCATTAAGTGAGAGCTTTCCAAAGGGCCGTCCCAGGGACCAGAAAATCAAACCCCTTCCCGGCAACTTCCTTTAACTTTGTCTATGCCTTTCCTCCAGCACTTAGCACTTTCCACCTGGGCCAGGTTTGACTCCTGGGTTCAGCTGAGAATTCCTTGAGGGCAACGTCCAACACACCCAGCTCAGTGCCTGCCACACACAGGGTGCTAGAGAAATGCCTCGAGAAAGCGAACTCAAGGCCGGAGCCAACTATTTGAATCACGGCTTGGCCTCTAGTAAATAACCTGAGGGCGACCCTCCTTCTCTCTGGGCCTCAGCTGCCCCAACTGTAAAATGGGAGGACTTGGTTGGCTGCGTCTAGGCCCTTTCCGCGGTGACAACTGCGATTCCGCGAAAGCTCTAAGCGGATGGGCGTGGCCCCGCCCCCTGGGCGCCCAGAAAAGTCCGGGAAGGGGGCGCGCAAGGCTCCAACCCCGCCTAGCCCGGGGTCGAAGCTTTCGGAAAAACTCTGCGCCCCCCTCCCCCATGGCGTGCACCCCGTGATTGGGCCGCGGCCGACACTTCCGCACAGCGGGCCAGGCCAGAGCAGGGCGCGCGCCCCGCGCTCCAGCCACCCCGGAGGCGCTCGCGCCGGGGGAGGGCTGGGGGTTCCCGAGGCGCCCGCGGGCGGAGGGAGAGGGGAAGGAAGGATTTGCAACAATACCTCTGGGAGGAGGCAGCCGGGGCGGCAGCAGCGGCGGCGGCGGCGGCGGCGGCGGCTGGAGGCGGAGGCAGAGGCAGAGGAGGAGGTGCCCGGGCACTCCCCCTCCCATTGTCCCCAGCCCCGGACAGGCTCGGCCCCGCGCCCCCGCACCGGCCTCCTCAAGCGCGCCGCCCGCGCCCAGCGCCCAGCGCCCCGCGCCCCGCGCCCCGGCCCCGGCCCCGCGCCGTGCAGCCAGCCCTTACCTTGCAGCGCCCGGCTCTCCCCCGGTCGCTAAATCTACTTATCCCGGGAAAGCTCGCGCGGGACCCGGGAACGAACCCACAGACAAAAAGTGAAACTTCGGCAGGGCTGGAGCGGCTGCTGGTTGGTGCCTTTCCCCCTCCTTCCTCCCCACCGTCCCCACCCCCTCCCCTCGGTCTCCAGTGCGGTGCCCTGAACGCTGGAGGCTGACGTCAGGGGCCTGAATTCCTGACTTTGCCTGCACGCATTTGTCCATGTAAGGTATGGGAAGGCGTGTGCCCGCTGGGCCGCCGCGCAGAGCTCGCCTGGCGGGGGGAGGGGAAACCCGCAGCCGGCGGTGGCTTTGCCAAAAGGTGGGCGCACGGAGGGCACTGCATTTCCTGGGAGGAAGAGGAGGAGACGCGGGAATGCAGGGAGCTTGCAAAGGAGGAAGGGAAAGAGGGAGATGTGGAGACTTTGCCTCTGCTGGAGGAAGAGGAAGGAGACGTAGGAGGAAGCGGCCGCGTCCGGGGGCTCGAGGAGAAACGGGAAAACCTGCGGCTCCTATTAAGGCGTCAAATTAGGGCACCCAGCTTGGGTGGGAGAGATCCAGCCATGAAATCCCCTTCCAAGATTTTCCTCATGAGCCCCGCCCTGGATTCCCAGCAAGACTCAAAACTTACAAGGTGTCAGAGCTGGCAAAGACCAACTTCCAACCCGTCCGCTTGGCACGTGAGGACACTGAGGCTCTCGGAAGAGAAATGACTCGTGCAGGGTCGTCTCTCAACAGCTGTCGGAGCGGGCCCAGGCGCTCTGCCTCCCACTCGGGTTCCCGCCTCCAGGAAGGGCCCTGGCTCCCTTTTGGCCCCAAAGCTTGAACCAGGTTAGCTGTCCGGGAGCTGCGCGGACCACCCAGTGACTTATACTGCTCTTGGCCCAGAGCCAGTTCCTGGAAGGTCCTGGTTGACCGTGAGCCCTGAATATCAATGGCACTCAGTTGCTTCGGGGCAACTTCCTCCTCTGTCCTGTGCACAAATAAATGAATCCCTGAGTTTAAAGTTTACTTCTGAGCCCTGCCCAGAAAGCTTGCTCTATGCTTATAGCTTCAAAAAAGTCTGCGAACTGGGTGAACTGGTTTGAATACAGACTTGCTTGTTATTGGAAGGTCTGAGTTGGCTTTTTTTTCTCCTCTGACATCTGTAAGTGGGAACGCCGAGGAGAACCACCACTTACTGTGTTAGGGGGTTATGATGTGCAGCAGCCGTTGCCTGGAAAGCGCTCCATGCCTGAGACATCCTTTCCTTGAACTTCTCTCCTGTTAATACCTAAAATCACCCCTCACATTAGCGTATGGTGAAAGCAGTTTCTCACCCGGTTATTGTATCCTCGGGTGAGTTAGATAGGACAAAGCGTAGTCCCGCTTTTACACTTCAGGCAAAAACTTAAGGAACGTTACTTGCCCGACACAAATAACTGACTGCCCAAGCACCTGACTTCCCCTCCTCCCATCTAGGTCTCCTGACTAATCCCTTGAACTTTCCATACCTGACCCTGACCTCTAGCAGGACCTAATTCCATTCATAACTGTTGAGAGTACACCATGAGCTACCTATTCATAAAAACTCCAAAAAGTGGTTCTTCTGAGGATGAATTTAAGTGGGATTCTTTTGACCAGAAATGTGAAAACACATGTTATTGGATTTATTGAGCACCTTCCTTGTGCTTAATAAGTGTTTGAATTCAGACATTTCAGGAGTAAGACTACCTAACCTCCCTGTTCCTCTCAACTACCTAATGTACACATACAAAAATATGAACATGGTGGGGCCTAGTGGCTCACACCTGTAATCCCAGCACTTTGGGAGGCTGAGGCAGGCGGATCACATGAGGTCAGGGGTTAAAGACCAGCCTGAGCAACATGGCCAAACACACTGTCTCTATTAAAAATACAAAAATTAGCCGGAGGTTGAAGTGAGCCAAGATTGCGCCACTGCACTCCAGCCTGGGGGACAGAGTGAGAAAAATTATAAAAAAAAAAAAAAAAAAAAAAAAACAGTAGCAGAGAGGCAAGATAGAGAGTAACCACCCATTTTACAGAATAATAAAATATTTTTCTCTTTACAACTAACACAGTTTGAAATGGGAGATATGAGCTCTTAGATTTTGTTCTGAGGTTTAAAAAAGATCAAATCCTATTACAGCACAGTTCACTCAAACGTTTTAGCATAGTCACATTCTGAGTACTATTTAGTATGAAAATAATTTCAGTGTCACATAAAGTAAAAATGGATTATCCCAAAACTCGTGGAATATAACGAGACTTGACCAGCATTTCTTTTTTTCCTTCTTCAGTAACCCACTTTTAAAGAATAATAGGGTCCTAATAAGGACTAATAAGATTTAATAAGGTATAATTAGAGTTGTTCATTTCTTCCATCATATACATTATAAGAGTATTGTGCTGGATCCAGAAATGCTACTAATTATGTTGAAACTGTTCTATGGGTGTGTGGTGGAAGATCACTGTGTTTCTCCTGAAATGTATGTGAGTTGTTCAGGTGAGCCTGGTGAGCGTGGTGTTAGCACGAGCATCATATAAAGTTAACTACAAAAGATAATTTTGACTCAAGAGGAACTCTCCAGGAGTGTAAGCAGCAAAGTCATAATCTGGATGCTTAGTGAACCACATACAGTGTTGTCATTAGTGCTAATCCCACCAAAAGCCTCGTTCCCATTTCCTGTTCTGGTTTCTTTCATACTCTGACTTTTCTCAACCTCCTGTGACAACTTTTTATGTGCAGGGGCTTACAGAAAATGGGAAGGTTGTATGAATTTAGAGACTCAGTGTTAGAAAAATACTGGTTTACCCATTCAGAGGCTGAAAGAAGCACAGAATTTCAGGTGGAGTTGGGGGGTCATTTGGTCCAAGGATAGCACACGGGTGGCCTAAAGGCCACCAGCAGCATTTTCATGGGTTCAGTAATGGCACAAAAGACTTTTAGGCAAGCAGGGCTCGGGTCTTGCCTTTTGCCTGTATCCATTAGTCCTGTACACATGGCCTTTGTATAGCTCAAGCCAGTCCTTTTTTGGAGTGACTGGCGATATTTTAAGGATTGTTCATATACAATTTGGTTAACTCTCACAAAACCCATTCTGAGGTTGGCGTTATTATTTTTTTATTTATCCATGACGAAACTAAAGCCCACAGAGGTTAAGTACTAGTTCTGTGTTGAGAGCTGAGTAAGCTCTTACTCAGCTGAGGGTAGGTAAGCTGAGATGCCACCCTGATCCCTGACAACCTGGCACCTCACTCGCCCACTGTTGAGTGACCATCTGCCCTCAGTTTGAACACTCCAGCATAGGGAACTTATGATCTCCTATAGTTGACCAAGAGGATAAGTTCTGAAGAGTCTATAAGAAAAATAAGAATACGAGGGCCATGGGTGATAGAAGGTAAATGCCAGTCTGCTGTTGCCTCTGACAGCTTAAATGCCATCAGGCCAAATGCCTCTAGTAAGGTTTGCACAGACCTTCATAATTTGGCACATACTTGTCCCTTCAGCCTCATTTCTTCTAGGCCTTCACGTGCCCTACCCTCCACCCTCTTTCTAATAGTTTTCCAAGCACATCTTCCCTCTCCATGTTTATCTCTGTTTACACAGGCTGCCTTTTCACCTGGGAGTCCTCATCCTTCTCTTTCAGATGAAGTTAACTTCAAGTGATGGGACCTGAATGCAAGCAGACCAACAGAAAGGAAGAGGAAAGTGAGAGGAGCCCAGCCATTTGGAAGTAGCAATCAAGACTAGCATGGGCAACGGGCACAGTGGCCCACGCCCATGATCCCAACACCTTGGGAGGCCGAGGTAGGCAGATCACCTGAGGATGGGAGTTTGAGACCAGCCTGGCCAACATGCAAAACCCTGTCTCTACTAAAAATACAAAAATTAGCTGGGTGTGTTAGCACACGTCTATAATCCCTCCTACTCAGAAGGCTGGGGCACAAGAAGTGCTTGAACCCATGAGGCGGTGGTTGCAGTGAGCCGAGATCACACCACTGCGCTCTAGCCTGGATTGACACTCCAGCTAGATTCTGTCTTAAAAAAAAAAAAAAAAAGACTAGCATGGGGAGAGACACAAGAGAGAAATGTTTGTTTCTGGTTCTTACCCTAAATTACTGTGCAACCTCTTGGCAAGTCACTTCCTCTGTATTCTCAGTTTCTTTATTCAATTAGCTCCTTAAATTTGGTGATCTCCAACACTCTCCCAGTTTTTCAGTTTGATGTTGCAGTGTACCCAGTGATCAAATTCATACTCCCGAAGCACGGTACGCTATGTCATACTGCAACTCTTGTGAAGGTTCCTGATATGGTTTGGTTGTGTCCCTACTGAAGTCTCATCTTGAGTTGCAGTTCCCATAATTCCCACGTCATGGGAGGGACCAGGTGGAGATAATTGAATCGTGGGGGTGATTTCCCTCCTGCTGTTCTTGTGATTGTGAGTTAGTTCTCATGAAATCTGCTGGTTTTATAAGGGCCTTTCCCCTTTACTATGCACTCATTCTTCTGTCTCCAGCTGCCATGTGAAGAAGGACATGTTTGCTTTCCCTTCTGACATAAGTGTAAGTTTCCTGAGACCTCCCAGGAATGCTGAAGTGTGAGTCGATTAAACTTTTTTCTTTGCAAATTTCCCAGTCTTCAGTACGTCTTTGTTAGCTGTGTGATAATGGATTGATAAAGTTTAATAATATCAACCAAATTAAGTTCATACCCTTAAGCTTCCCCTTCCTCATTTTTATGGCCTAATCCTGATGGACTTTTCCAATTACATAAGTTGTAACTCCAACACCCCCTCCTCCACCACACACATACACACACACCACTTCCTTTACTTCCTGCTTCTGGGCTTTTGCACGTTTAGTTTTCTCCTCCTGAACCTAAAAGACTTTCCAGGCCCACCTCCAAAGTTGCAGATTCTACCTGTCCAGCTAGCCCCTTCTCATGGAATCCCCACCCCATTGCCCATTCTCTCCAAACTCCGTCCGTTACTATGAAAATAATGTCTCTACTGTATTTTCCCAAAAAGATACCCATTTCGTTATCCCAATGCATTACAATTTGTCATCAGTGTGTTCGATCTCCTCCATGCAAATATACAATTCTTCATAGTGGTTTTCATGTCTTGTTCATTTCTCTTCCCGGGCAGCCGAGGCAGTACCTGGCATTTATAACCAGTTGTTACCCAGTAAGAGAGTAAATGAGTAAATCCTTCATCTTCGATAGAAAAAGCAACACAATCGATGCCATCTCTCTGGAAGATTGGTCATGTTTCTTTAGACCATGACTCTGAGCAGGCATCGGGAGGGGCGAGGGGAAGAGAGAGAACTAATACCGGTCATTTGTTACAATGTGCTCCATGTGCCCTTTCTAGGCCTTCTAACGTTTAGCATAAATAAATTGTATAAATTTTCTGATAATACAGTTCTGCTATTACAATAGACATGAAATTAAAGCCATGGTTATTTTGCAACTTTATATAAACCAAATTTGAAAAGATACCTAAGGTCATCTTTTTTCAGAAAGAACTAAGCATAAATGACAGTTTAATGATTTTATGTATCCTGTTCTATAGTTGAACATAGGTCTCTTCCAAGATTATAGCACCAATGTCAAGCAAACCAGGCCTTTGGGTGACAATGACTCTAGTTTGGCCCAATGAGCATTAGCCTTTTGAAAAGAGATAAAAAACTTAATGTGGTAAATAGTAGTGCAGGCTTGTAGTAAATGCAACACTGAAGATGATAAAACAGTTTATAGGTCGGGTGCAGTGGCTCACACCTGTAATCCCAGCACTTCGGGAGGCTGAGACAGGGGGATCACTTGAGGTCAAGAGGTCAAGACCAGCCTAGCCAATAAGGTGAAACCCTGTCTCTACTAAAATACAAAAATTAGCTGAGTGTGGTGGTGGGCATCTATAATCCCAGCTACTTGGAAGGCTGAGGAAGGAGAATCGCTTGAACCAGGGGGCAGAAGTGGTAGTGAGCTGAGATTATGCCACTGCACTCCAGCCTGGGCAACAGAGTGAGACTCCCTCTCAAAAAAATGAATAAAATAAAATCAAACAGATTACAAAAGGTTTGCTTACCCTCTCATCTTCACATGTCATTGTAGAATGAGGGAAGAAACTCAACGTAAAATGAAAAGAATATACCACCAGACTTCCTAAATGAATGTTTTCTCCCTTTATTAAATACTAGGTCTTTGGTGTCACAACCTAATTTCTTCATTGGCTTACAGGAATCAAATAAATATGGACAAATGATAATTTGTATCTGTCTCATGGGTTTCTGCACAATAGTGTTATCACTATTTGCATTTTCCCAGAACACAGAATCTGATTGCCTGAATGTATTTTGGTGTATCCCAACTCAACCACGTGTACCAATCTAACAGTTTTTGACCTCAGGTAAGTGCAGGACTTAGAAGAGATATGATTGTGCCTAGAAGCTTGTGAATCTTCACAGACCAGGCAGAGCAGTCTCACAGTGAGGGCCAGTCTCTTGTAGCAGAGATGATGGCAGACACAGCTTTAATCCTTATTGTGTTGCTACCAGTGAAAAGTTTCAAAGAGGCTCAAACAACAAAACAGACAGTTTATGCCATCTTTTTTGCTCTGACAACAGGTTATCATGCACCTACTAGCCTTACTAGGCCTGGGAATACAGTATTGAGAAAAATATTAATAGACTCAGTTCCTACCCTGCATCCTAAAACAAAGATCATATATAATGCCAATTCCAAGGAGAGGGGTCTGTTGAGATAGCTTGGCTGAGACCTCCCAGTGGACCCCTGGACGGGCTGGATGCACTGCTGCTGCTGAGAGCCTCCTTTGATGATGATGAGGCAGGCAATGAGGAGCCTAGAGACACAACTGAGGGCCCATTGGGGAAACACAAACATGGCGCATACATTTTTGTCTTCACACAATAACAGAAGCAGGAGGTAAAGGATAACGTCCAAGGGTTTGATGTATGCAGCAAGGCCTCGGGTGGTGGCCTCACTGATTCCTTTAGAAAGTTGCATGGAGCTGAAGAAGGTCTGCTAGTTCTTGGTGAGCTTGGTATGTGGGATAGGCTTTAGGATGTGCTTTGCCTCATTCATGGCTGCCATCCACAGTCTCACTGACTCCATGGGCATCACAGCAGATACTAGGTCAGTTTTAGATGAATAGAAAGAAGTCCATGACATATATCTATATAAATCTCTTTCTCTATATATACATATATTCTATCTATATCTCTTCTATATATACATGTATAGATACACAGTTTGAGGTATAATTTACATTCCATAAAATTCATTCAGTTTAGGCAGACGTGGTTTTTAGCAAATTTAGTAAATTTATGGAATTGTATAACCATCACTACATTCTAATATTAGAGCAGTTCCATCACCCCAAAATGAAACCTTGTACCTATTTATAATCATTGCCTATTCTTATCTTCAGACCCAAATATTACTTCTCTACTTGGTGTCTCTGTAAGATTTGCTCTTTCTGGACATTTCATATAAATGGAATCATAAAATGTGTAAACTTTTGCATCTGTTTTATTCCATTCACAATGTTTACAAGGTTCATTAATGTAGTAGCATAATGTATTAATACTTTTTATGGCTAAATAGTATTCAGTTGTTCTGTACTTATCCATCAGTTGCTGAACAATTGGCTTATTTCTGTTTGGGGGCTAAAATGAATGATGCTTCTGTGACTATTCATGTACATATTTCTATGTGGACATATATTTTCATTTCTCTTGGTTACGTGATAGTTAAAAGTCAGAGAAAAAGTATAGATGTAATTTTTTAAAGAATATGCTTTAAAGTTATAACAGTGGTTGTTTTTAAGTGGTAGAATTATTTCTTCTTTTTGCTTATCTAAATTTTCTAATTTCCTTACAATAAACATGTCACTTTTAAATTTTCCTGTGTATCTGTAATAAGACAGACAAAAACAGCTTTTCTTAGAAAAAAGCAAACACATATTTGGGAAGATGTGATCTCTTTTTTTGACCTTGAATCTTCTCAGCAATCTATGCCAGATGGTTTGTGATGGAATATTATTTTGAAATATTTAATGAGATCTTTACCCATATTTCTAGCCCCTGGCTCTTTATTCACCCAACTAGCTAAGATGGTCTGTGCTAGTGTATTCCCAGGGATGGAACAGACCTCAAATGGAAGGAGACTAGGTTTCTTTTACTTTGCAGAATAAACTTAATTTTAATTGCATACTCCCCCAATTACAGAAAATTTCCACATTTTTGCTTCTTGCTTTTGAATTTGTAGACTAAAATTAGCATACTTTTACAGGTTATCCAGACTTTGAGACTCGTCAAACTCAACATGGCTCAAACATGAATTCACCTGGGCTTTGCTTTCTCCCCACTTCCCTGTCTCCATTGATGGTACCCCAACCTCCTTGTGAGGAGGATGCTCACAGCTTGTGGTCATTCTCAACTTCCCTCTCCTTCACTCATTCTAATCACTTGTCAAGCCTGGCTGATTCTATCCACAAAATTCAATGTGTGGGCGGGGGGGAGAAGAGAGACAACAATTTATTTTATTTATTTATGAAACAGAGTCTTGCTCTGTCACGAAGGCTGGAGTGCAGTGGCACAATCTCGCCTCACTGCAACCTCCACCTCCTGGGCTCAAGTGATCCTCATACCTCAGCCTTTCGAGTAGCTAGGATTACAGGCATGTGCCATGCCTGGCGTATGTTTTTGTATTTTTAGTAGAGATGGGGTTTCATCATGTTGGCCAGGCTGGTCTCGAATTCCTGACCACAGTGATCCACCCGCCTCGGTCTCCCAAAGTGCTGGGATTAGGGGGGTGAACCACCACGCCCAGCCCGAGAAGCAATAATTTAAATAGTGGTCCTCTGCACCAGGGTTCTTGTGAGTAAGAGATGCAAGACCTGAACCTCCTGCCTACACCCGTTCTCACCGTCTTTACCTGCTTTTCATGGATGGCTCTCTTACCTTGTTGATTTTACCATTTAAAGATACCTATTTTTAGCCTGGGGGTGGTGTCTCACACCTGTAATTCTAGCACTTTGGGAGACCAACGTGGGCGGATCACTTGAGGTCCATCTCAGCCTCCCAAAGTGCTGGGAATACAGGTGTGAGCCACTGCTCCCTGCATATGTGATTTTTTAAACCAAAAAGCTTCCAGTATTTTCGCCTTCCATTTGAACCTTACAAGGTCCCACTGAGGCACATGGCATTCCCTCATTTATCAGGCTAACTCACAGATCACCATACTACCTTAATATCTCGCTTCCCAATCCTGAGTTGCTCCAGTTCCAGATCACCCAGGTGGCTACCGCTTGGAAGCTGAGACACTGAAAAGGCTCTCTGGCTAAAAGATCTAGCTTCCTTTCAGCAGAGTAGTTTATCAGCTTTCTCTTTGCATATGACACATGGCATAATAGGCAGGAAAGAACTGAAACCCTTTAAGATTTCCTGAGCAGAAATACAAACAGCTTGAATGGTTTGGATGGCATTTATAAGTTCCAAGTAGGACTGGTCATATTTATTTAGGTTTCCCATGGAGATGTGGTTGAGATGAAGCATTCAATTGCATCAGTAAACCCACGGAAGATGCTTAGATTGAGAAGCAA